ACACTTATTAAGTGGTTGTATTTTGATAAACCGACGAGACCAAATGATTCGTACCCTTACTTGTTGGGGCGTCCCAGCGTCACCCGTTTAGCTCCCTGCGTCGCTCCCTAGTTTAGTTTTAAACTTTCGTTTTCGAAAAAAATTAAAAAAAAAACATTAGCTAAAACCCTTTGCCTATCAATGAAGACCAATGCTAACGATATATGAGTCTTGACTGTGTTATCTTAAGTAGTAGTAGTAGTAGTAGTAGTAGTAGTAGTAGTAGTAGTAAGTAGTAAAACTTTATTAAAAGTGTCAAGAGCCGTCTAGCTAGGGAAAAATCCCTTACCAAAAAAGAAAATAGACTAGGAGCTATTTACAGTAGTATATATATTAAAACTAAGACAAAATCTATAGTTAACTAATTACGGGATTTGTAATGAAGATATATAAAATTCAAAAGGAGCAGAGGCTACAGCGTGTGCAGCCATCATCCAAGAGCTCACTTGTACTGAGTTGGCGTATCTTGCCTTTGAATAACTTGAGGGTCTTGACCTCCCTTATACTCTTGGGTAATTTTCTCCATAGCCTGGGCCCTAATTATCAATCATTGCGTGAAGAAATTACCTGAGTATCATTATGCGATCATAGCTTTAAGAACAATATCGATTTTGGCAACGAGCACGTGGCAATTAAACTGAGAAACAAGAAAAGTAAAAAACTAGCGAAAGAAAATCACAACTACGAGTTCACATAATTACAAAATAGATTGTTGCTTACCAACGTTCGCGAGTCTTGACTACTTTATCGAGGATTACAGTCTAACTTGTCTTCCATTTAAAAACGATCTTGATTACACGGGGTCTTATCCTGAACTGAAACAGCAACTATAATTTTCTGTCTTAAAATGAACTAACCACGCAGGCAAACCATAAAATATTTCGCAGCATCTTTCGGAAGCGGTAACATTTAGCCTAACGGGAGTAGTTACATCTTAAGGTGCAGGGCGGGAAATCAAATACGTTACAACCAATTCAAGCAATGCATTACTTTCTCCTTGCA